CGCTTGATGATGTAAGGCCGGGCCTGTCCAAGCCAAAGAAAATATATTTTTAGCTACCTCACTGAGCCCCTGAGAATGCAACATAGGAAGGTTGGGGTGCAAAGACCACTGTGAAAACTTCACTGCCAAGCTACTAAGCTTCTTCGTTGTAACACGAATGCACTTCTACGCGAGAGACACCAATCGAAAGCTAGAGATGACGGAGATGATGGCCGTAGCAAACCAGAAAGCTCAGCTCCTGTGATCGCCAACTGTAAGGTATTTTCAGCCTTGGTGTTTTGCATTCTGCTCGCGATTTTTTCGTGGAAAAATAAAGAAACGTTGCACAGTATTCATCTACAATTTTATCCTCGCCGAAGATTTGTCGTGGTGACAAATAAAGAGTAGAAAAAAGTATTTTGTTAGTTTTCCTGCGACAAATATATGGCAGCGTTTACCGAGAATTAGATACGGCGCTGACAGCGCGTGCGGGCCCCTGCTTGTGGATGCTGGTCATAGACGAATATGAGAGGCATCAACTATGACATAAATCCCGTTTTACTTTAACATTACACAAGCAGAAAAGGGCATCAGGAAGCTCGACACAAAGCTAGGCGTCTACACTCCTCTCCGTTGCATCATACCGTCTAAAACTCGAAGGCGTAAGCGTCCATATTTACAATCATATGGCTGCAGCAGAATCTACTTGCATAGTCTATTTCTTCAAAAAATGGGCAAGGCCGCCTGATTTTGCAATGAAGAGCCAGCGTCCCGAGCTTGGCCCGAGCTTGGTCGGCCTTGCGGACCGGGCGGGCTTAGAGTTCCTGTATAGGCTCCCTAACTACCGTAGGTAGCATATACAAGAACTCTAGGCGGGCTGCGACGACAGCGCCACCACGCTCGCGCGAACGGAGGGGGCCGGCTTTCCGAAGCATGGCTAATCCGGAGCTTGTCGTCTGGGCCGATCTATAAATGTACAAGGTGTCACAAAAAAAATAAATTTACAGAGTTTTTTTCACCGCTAAAATAAACTAGGCATCGCCGAACGCTCATTCTCCGCCCAAGGGTAGCGCTAGAGGTCCCAACCGATGCCAAAGTTTCAGCCCGATCCGATACCTTATTCAACAGTTATAAGTAATTTTCTGCAAATTTCAATTTGAAAATGGTGCCCATTTTCGGTTTCTGGTGCCATAGAACCCCATGTATTCGAAAACTTCGTCGACCGCCATTTTCCCATTGAAATTTTCAGAAAATCACTTATAACAAGTTTTGATTAAGGTATGGGATCGGGCTGAAACTTTGACATCTGGTTGTGACCTCAAGCGCTATTTTTGAGCGGAGAATGAGCGTTCGGCGATGCCCAGTTTAGTTTTGCGGTAAAAAAAAAAACAAAAAAAAAACTGTAATTTTTTTTTTTTTTTTTTTTTGTGAGACCCTGTAGATGCATGACTTTACCCAGATGAAAAGATAAGTGTGGCGTTTCCTTCGACCAAACACGTTGTGAGAAAAAATATTTCCTTTCGGTTACACAAGCTTTATTCACTGAAATGCCTCATTGCCAACAATATTGTTACTTGCAGGTCACGAGCTTTCTTTTTCCGTTTTGTCTTTGACCCGGTTAATGTTACATTCCCAACTTATTGTATTTGAAGATCAGAACAAATAAAAGCATCAGTAAAGATCGACACGCGGCACGGCACTGTTTACCAACACGGCTGGAAGGCCGCGCATGCGCAGCACCGATGTGGGCAAAAGCGGCCAGGCTCTCCATGTTTTCGCCATTCCGTTCTATGGCGTGCGCTCGTTGTTGACGTTGTAGAGACGCTACTAGCTTTATTTATGCGTCGTATTTTATGCCAAAGTATGTCGTACGTTTTTGCCCGACTATTTGAACTGGCTACTCGAGCCTGAACGGCAGTGGTATCGAGACACACTGTGCGTGGACGGCGTTGCCTTCGAGGATCCGTACGCCGCAAAGCCCGCTGCAGTGGACTTCCGACGTGAAGTTTCTGGAACCGAAGTCGACGGCTCACGTGGTCGTTTATTTACTTTTTTTCGCAAAGCCAGTTCACGGCCGACACGGTGCAGGCGTGCAAGTCTCTCGACCCGCACTGCCGGCGGGATCAGCAGACTTTGGGTCTGCTGAAGTGTATTTATTAATTATATTAAATACACACAGCGTCTTTGAGTCAAGGTATGATATTTTTCCTACCCTTATGACCACAAGGCATGACAAGCGGTAACGCTTTGTCCGTTCTGCAGTCTTGGCGGTAACGCGTTAGAAGTAACGGCGTTACCGGTAACGCGCAACTTTTTTCAGTAACGTAGTAACCTACTCGGTACTTTTTTCAAAGCAGGAACTGGTAACCTATTTACGTTACTATTGCAAGTAACGGGTAACGTAGTTACGTTACTCGTTGCTTTTTTCCCCCAAGTCTTAAAGGAATTACTTTTTTTTTCCGTGTTTTTAGGCGCCAAGTTACGTGAATTTCTGCGTTTTTCTTTGCATTTTTCCTCGCGAGTATTTAGGTGAAACCGTAAAAAGAGATAAAGTAATTATGTTCAGTTTCTGCATAAACATACTGTTTCTTGAAATATGATTTTATGCATACCTGTACCGTCAAAACAGTAAAATTGCGTTACTTCTCATCGGTAACAGTAATGCGTTCCTTTTATTTTGAAGTAACGCAGGTCGGTAACGCGTTCCTTTTATTTGCAAATGACGAGTAATGGTATCTCGTTACTTTTTTTCGGTAAGGCCTACAACACTGCCGTTCTGCCGCCGATCTTCTTCCGCCTGATAGCGCGGGCGTGGCGAGCCACCGACGAGCGCTTGGCCGTTGCTTTATGCTCGAACACCGTGGGAACAAAATCTCTCGATCAGACGACGGTTTTCCTGCACATAAGCAAGCCTCAGGACGGAGATTGGAGTGGAAGTCAATCTTGCCTTCAAGAAGTGCTTGCCGCACGAACGGTCGTCCGCGCGAGGCGACTATTCTTTTCGATCCACGGATATTATCCACCTTCCGTGCCTTTCAGAGTCCGCCGGGAACTTATGGAAACTCACCCCGCTACTTTTGCTGTACCTTTCGGTGCAATCAACGGCTATACATAGCTTTGTGGCATGCTGAAATGCTCTGACGCCCATGCGAAACGTGCGCCCTTTTGCCCACACCACACGGCTCCGGCAAGGTATATGTACAGATGGTAGCGAAACTTTGGCCAAAACACGGTACAAAACAAATTGCCAGCGACATCAACCAGGAGGGTCACGTGGTTACGGTGCGTTTGAAGCGCGACTAGGAGACGTTATGGCAAACTATATACAAATAAAATAACTTTAATTTAAATTATACTAAATTGTATTTTTAAATTTTGTATGTTGTTATTAGTGGTCTTAAATAAGGTTTATCGCGCTCGAGAAAGCTGAAATAGCTTTTATTACTACTGATATTCTAACTTGCCCTTTGCGCCCTCTGTACTGCACAAGCAAGAAGGCTGGCTTTTAATAGCGATAAATTGCAGAGGCATCGTGCTGCACGAAGAGGCAGGTTCTTGTTGTCCGTCTGCTTGCTTCTTTTAGGTCTCCACGTGCTTTTTGAATCGTTCTACCGTCACTTCAAATAGTTTGAAAAGTTTCGTTCGCTCAGCCTGATTACGCAAGTTACGTGCGCAGGAGCGTAATATCAGCGTGATATAGGAACAGTCACCTTCGTGCGGTTGGACGCTACTGCGTCCGACGGGCTCAACGTCCTTCGTGACAATGAGCTCAACACGTTATGCAACGAGGCGTTGCTCCGTGGAAGAACGCCGAAGTGACAACCGCACGGCTGGCGTCTCGCTGCACCGGTTTCCTGTCGACACTCGAAGGTGAGATTTTGTTCCTGTCAGTGAGGTGCCTGCTGTGGTGTGGCCATGCCCCCCTTGTAAAATGTTCTCTTAACTGTTGTTAGTTTTCGCTGACTTTGCAGCGTTGTTCGCGCTCATTACGAAAGCGCCCAGGATATTTGAATTTACCTGAACCGATTTGCCCCTCAGGAGTATGGGGTCATACTCATCGACGCTCTAATCAAGGATGCAACACGACATAGATACATTTAAAAGCCTCTGCACTAAAGGCTCATGTTTATCTTTTTGTGGTTCATACAGAGAGTTTTGCTCACTAATCTGTGAATGTCCTCGCTCCGATTTGCTTTGGTGTGTGCACATATTGGCTACATTTGCTCTTTGCAAGTACGCAAGACACTTAGATAGCACCGCGCTTTATCCGCAGGCGTGAAGCATGGGTTCGGTTCTCCAACAACCGGGGCCTCCAGGGGAAGACTCCATGGCAGCTACGAAACATGGTTGTTTGCTCTTTACATTTCAAGGCGTCAGCTTTCCTGCGGCCTGGATACCTACGCCACAATGCAGTGCCGACTGTGCTTGCCCCTGAAGGTGACCAGACCACTAGACCTTCCGACGCGCTTTGAGAATAACCTATGTCAAGGCCCACTGATTAGGGAAATAGTTAGAACATGGGCCCGAAAAATTGCTTTTGTGGACTTATAACGTTTATGCAATTTCACAGAAACAACACGTGGCGAAGTTTCAAGCGAGAGCTGTACAGTTTCTGCTGTGGCAAATGGTGAGCTTTTTCGCTGTACCTACCATAAAGAGGCAGCAAATGCCGTCACCACTGAGTTAGTTCATGTTCTTCATCACTTGAGCATTTTGCTATAGAATAAAGTGTGCTTGGACAAATGTGGGGAATCAGATAGGAGTCATTGATTGAGTCTCATTCCAGGCCCCATTTACTACATTTTTAACCTCAGGTGAGTAAGCGACTCCAATATGGACCCACAGACCTGCATTGTCCACGTTGACAAGCAGCTTTCGGAAATGAAGCTGTCCTTGAAATAAGGTTATTTCCCTTTTCCGATGGTAAATATAAGCGAATTGGGGAGAAATTCAACCGCTACTCTTTCACTAATTTCATATTAAATTTGCAGAAAGGAGTTCCCCAGCCCCACCGACCTACCGATACCCGGGCCGCTCGGACTCCCAGAGTTCCTGTGGCATTCCTGACGACCAGTCTTCCGAAATGGAACTGTCCTTAGAAGAAGGTGATTTTTATATTCAGATTTTAAAATAGGAGAATCAACCAAGAATTCAACCGCTACTCCTTCAATAACTTTGTGTTAAATATGCAGGGAGGAGTTCTCTATCTTCATCGAGCTGCACATCCTCCAGCCGCCCAGACTCGCGGAGTTCCTGTGGCATTCCTGACGTACGGTCTTCAGAAATCGAGCTGTCACTGGAAGAAGGTGATTTTTTTTTAATAGGAGAATCAACCAAGAATTCAACCGCTACTCCTTCAATAACTTTGTCTTAAATATGCAGGGAGAAGTTCTCCATCTTCATCGAGCTGCACATCCTCCAGCCGCCCAGACTCGCGGAGTTCCTGCGGCATTCCTGACGTACGGTCTTCCGAAATCGAGCTGTCACTGGAAGAAGGTGATTTTTTTTTAATACGAGAATCAACTAGGAATTTAACCGCTATGCCTTCAATAACTTCATGTTAAATTTGCAGGGAGGAGTTCTCCAACTTCATCGACCTGCACATACTCCAGCCGCCCAGACTCGCAGAGTTCCTGTGGCATTCCTGACGACCAGTCTTCCGAAATCGGGCTGTCCCTGGAAGAAGGTAATTTTTTTTTTTCATTTTCAGATGTTAAAAAAGTAGAATGAATCTGAAATTCAACCACTAATTCACTCTTTTCACATTACCTTCGCAGAGGGATGTTCGTCAGCTTCATGGGACCACACATATTCCTGTCTCCCACTAGAGAACAGTCCACTGGAGGCTCATGGTAAGTGATGGGAGAGCAGGGCGTTTCTGCGCGCCTTGTTGCTCTGACTTTTTTGTGTTTTTTGCTCTTACTACAGTTATTGTAACAGCACTTTCTATTTTTTCTATTTATTTTGAAGCTGATCATAGCTACGCCCTTCCTCAAAATGCTGTTCCTGCTCACGAGTCCAGCGGAGACATGGCTGACATGGCGCCGTCGATTTATGGACCGTCACCTGAGGACTCTCTCTCTAGCAGTGCCGGTGTACTTTCTCACAGAGGTAAGTGCTCTTTCATTTTACCTCTTGCACCTTTTTGTTTTGTATTGTTAAAGTGCACAAATTAGTCGCCGAACATAAACAACCAAGGCTAGTTATAGGTATCAGATGACTTGAAGATACTAAAATTTATTCTGAAAGTTGGCGGGACATACAAGGGTACATATAGCACTATGTCACAGAACACAAGGCCGGATGGCAGCCAGCTACAAACTGGAGTCAGTTGAAAATCCACCATTTATTTGTGCTTCACATTATTATATTTAAAGTAATGTATACAAAATGTTCATAAAGTTTCACAGACGAACCATCAAAACACCTGAATGGGTTTCACTGAATGGTAACGCAATAATCTTTTCGCAAAGCCTCATGTAAGGCAGCATTTTTTATAGCTAGCTAAAAACTGCCTGGGCCATACGTGCATGATGCTAACCTTATTTAAATTTGATTTGCACGTATGTAGTACGTTATCAAACTTTTCACTGTACCTGGTTTAAAAAAAAATTGTGCAACTTGACAAGGAATGCAAGTTCTTATTGGCCACCATTTACATATATATAAACATTTTTACAGTTTACTGATCTGGGTGATTTGTCACCTTGCAGCATCAAGCAAGGCCCGCAGCACTGACAAGAGAAAGATGGACGCACTGAGGGCCAAGGTACGACAGGTCCGAGAACAAAACAAGAGGCTGCAAAGAAGGCTGCAACGACAGCGTCAGATGAGGACTGTTGCTGAAGTTGTTGAGAGTGTCCGCATTCATGTTTCTCCAGCTGTCGCTGCACTCGTTGAGGCCCAGCTTAGGATGAGGGATGTGAGCCGGTTTGGTCGACGGTGGTGCAGCCAGAACAAGGCTTTGGCTTTGGGCCTCTACTTTCATAGCCCAAAAGGCTATAAGTATTGTAGACGACTGCTTCGGTTGCCATCAGTCCGATCACTGCAGCTGTGGCTTCAGCGTGTTCCACTGAGAGTTGGATTTTACCCCGAAATTTTCGAGCTGGTAAAGAGGCGAGCGACTTCTTTTTCACGAGCCGATCGAGCCTGCAGCATAGTGTTTGATGAGATGCATATTAAAAAAGAGCTCTCATACAACCCCTCATCTGACAGGTTTGAAGGACTTGAAGAGTATAGTAATGGTGTGCAAGGTGCGAACCTATCAAACAAGGCTCTCGTGTTTATGGCAAAAGGAATTCGAACACCATGGAAGCAGCCACTTGGCTACTTTTTCGCTCATAAAGGCACACCTACGAATGTCCTACAAGATCTTCTTTTCCAGTGCTACAGCCTCCTTGTGGATGCTGGCCTGGAGCCAGTAGCTGTGGTATGCGATCAGGGGAGCCAAAACATCTCCCTTTTTTCAAGCCTTATAACCCCCGAGAAGCCTTACATAGATGTCAACGGCAAACCTCTTTTTTTCCTTTTTGATGCTCCGCACCCCCTGAAGTGCCTCAGAAACATGCTATTTAAGTATGACTTCAAGGTTTGTGATCAAGTAGTAAAAAGCTCGTACATAAAGGAAGCTTATGAAAAGGACCGGAAACTTGAGATCCGTTCGATGCCCAAGCTGAACGCAAAGCACTTTGATTTGACGTTCTGCTCAAAGATGTCGGTGAAACTAGCGGCCCAAGTTTTTAGCAACCATTGTGCTGCTGCAATGTATGCCTTCGTAACGTTCCAGCAATTGCCACCTGCAGCTATTCACACAGCGAGATTCGTTGAAAGAATCGACCGTCTCTTTGACAGCCTAAATAGCTCCCACAAATCGGCAAAAACGCCCTTCGCCTCTGCGATGCATAATGGCTCTGTCCATGAAGAGTTTTTCAAAGAGTGCATTGAAGTTTTTGAAACCCCGCAAGTACTCGGATGTAGACGGCAGCCAAACTGCATTCGTGGCTTTTGCTTAACAATGAGGTCTCTGATGATGCTCTGCAATCACCTCACAGTTAATTTTGGTTTCACCTACATTTTAACCCGCCACTTAAACCAGGATACGCTTGAAAACACCTTTGCTATTATACGTTCGAAGTCTGGAGCAAACGCAAACTCTACTTCTCGTCAGTTTCAGGCAGCGTTCAGACATCTTTTGGTAAGCAACTTGTTCAAGCTGACTGAAAAATCAAACTGTGCTGAGGACATGATGTCCCTCCTTGCTACTCTTCCGGTAGGCCTATCGGCACCCTCTGCTTCTCTACCCTTGGGAAGCTCAGTTTTCCTTAGCGCAGCAGACGAGTCGCCCTTAAACTACCCTTCGGCCATGGTAGCGAACAACATGGTTTATTTTGCTGGGTGGCTTGCGACAAGATTTTTGAAGGGTCATTCTTGTGTCGGGACATCTCAGCGATGTGAGCTGAAGAAAGAAAATGCATGTTTTTCTGAAGGAAACCAAGTTTTACTGTACTTGAGTGTGAAAGGCACTGCTGACTCGGACTTTGGAAACCTGTCAGTTCCCTCCCCTTCCTTCACATCATTCGTTGAGGCATGTGAGCGTGTTTTCGAGGCGAGGATCAACAACCTTATTTCAAAGGAGGGCATAGGGCGCACTCTTTGTGTACTTTTTCATCAGGAGGTCCAAAAGTCTCTTGTTGTGTGTGACAATGTGTATGACGACTTGTTTTCTCTGTTTGCAAGAGTCAGGCTACACTGGTTTGCACGAAAAAAAAACACTGAACTTGTTGATGCATCAGCAAGGTGTAAAACTAGGCAGCACGTGCAAAGGCTAAGCTCTTGAGACTACACAGCGTACATTTTAAAAGTAGTATATGTGCTTTCCTAGCCTTTCGTATGGTATAAAAGACTATTTTCGTTTGCTCGATATTTTGCAACGCGTCTCGAAAAAATCTGGCGGGCGCACAATTTCGCGATCTAGAACAATATTTATTGCTTTCATATCCTTGGACTGAGTCATTTTTCGCGAGGTTTTTCAACTTGTGAAATTATTAAATATTAGGTCATCGCGAAAGTCAAGGTGCTTACTGTGCTTTGCTCTGCTCTGCTCTGCTCTGCTCTGCTCATGTCGTTTTGTCACTGAATTAAACCTGTGGTTTTAGGGTCCGACGAAACACTGGCCTATTACCTGCAGCGTACTGGAGGGCACCAAAATTATTTACGCGTACAAGGGAGGTTACAGAGTACATAGCACCATCATACTCAAGTTAGAAAGTTTTCTGGATTTCTGCCAAAGAACGGCAAAATCGGCTGTTATTTTTGTTGAACACAGCTTTCCTCCAAACACTTTGAATTTTTTTTATATTGATGGCTGTCTATAAATTGACAATGTCCACACAACAGGCAACCAATTGTACAGTGTGTTACGTGCTATCCTGTCATAATGTGCCTTGCGTATTGATCTAGTTTTCTTCCACCTTAAAACTAGGTATGATTGTATGCTTCTGACGAGCGTTCTGGTTGAGTGATTGTAAGCAGTTTTAAGTGAATAAAATGTTAGTGCAACATTGGACTGCATTTGAGTTACTGTTGCGTATCTTCAACGCTAACACACTCGAGAAACGTTATTGTTATTCACTTTGTTTGTGAGGTCAATCACCTTAAAGCCGCTCCCACATTTCTGAAAAGCTGAAGAAAAAAGCAAAAGTAGTTCTGTGGGATGAAAAAAAAATATTCTCGTAGTGAGCTGCCTAAAAAGGCGGCCGCATACAAAAATTAAATTATTTTCGCGCAGATTTAAGAGTCCAAACGCGGTGGGGTAAATTCAACATAAAAAAACCGAGACTGCAGGCAAGAAGACAACACACTAAAAGAAGTCAGACATAGCTTGGCACAGCTTTGTTTGAGATTTTTTAGTACCAGAAAGCTTTGAGGCTTTTTTTAGAAATCGGGATTGCAGGCAAAAAGGACGATCGTCCTTTTTGCCTGCAGCCTGCAGTCTCGGTTTCTTGTTATATTTAATTTTCGCGCCAAACAATACATCAAAGTGACGTCACGTTTTTGGTGTTTTTTTTCGGAAGTGACGTAACTTCCTGTTTATTTTTTGTTCCGCCGGAAATGCTATCACGACACATAGATGGCGCTAGCGAAGCCCCATGAGCCGCCATTTTTTCGACACGTGGGGTTCTATGGAAGCTTCGCTACCATATGTACATATACCTTGGCTCCGGCGCGATCGTAGCGCCGCCGCAGCTCCGTTACGTAGAATAGAATAGAATAGAATAGAATAGTTTTATTTTCCAATACACACATTTTCAAAAAGTACAATGACGAGCCGGTGTAAGCCTCAGGGGCTTGTGTACCTGGCTCAGCGCAGTAGGTGACAAATTCAGTATGTGTAACATTAGTATAAAATGCTCACTCAGCATCGAAGTACTTATTCAAAGAAAAAAAAACATTTTAAGCAGGGACCAAGAAAAAATGAGCGAAAGACGGCATCACACTGCAGAACAATACGCACTGTCCTGAAAAAAAAAAGAAAAAAAAACAAGCAAAGGGAAAAGAGGAAACCACCATCTAGCACTCGTTCACTGGTCTAAATTCCGCAGTGCTTTTTTAAGTTTTTGTCTTGATGTGGCGACAAACAGGGACTCTGGCATGCTGTTGAATACATGGGGCACATAATAAATACGCGTACGTTCCCCATATTTAGTTCGAATTCGCGGCATGTTAAATCGAAGTGATTGTCTCATTGGTCGGCCTGGAGTGTACGGAGTTATAAAATTTGAGTTCCAAAAGTGTTGCAGTATCACTGTCTCCTTAAATAACCCCAAAAAAGACGGCAATTTTAATTCTTTAAATATACAGGGGCTAGAGACCTCGGCCCGGTCAAACGCAATACTTCTTAAAATACCCTTCAGTAAAGAATCAACTCTATCTCGCCAAAATAGAGAACACCTAGCAATGAGGGTTATACCGTATCGAAAGTAACTATAAGCCAAAGCATGTGTGATTATCTTTCGTACCGTAAAAGGCATGAACATTTTAACGTTGTAAAGACAGCACGAAACACTTCTTAACCGTTTACACAAGTGCATCATATGCGTAGACCACGATAAATCGCTATCAAAATGGATCCCTAAGTACTTTACTGAATTGACATGCTGAAGAGGAATGCAATCACATGACCTGCAACTAGAAGTGTGCAACTAGAAGTGTAGAAGTGAAGTCCGCGTGTCGGTCTTACTTGGTAACGCTCATTTTGGGCTCTCCAAAACAAAATTTCTGTTACAGATATTGACTCGAAAATATTTATTTACACATAATGTGATGGGTCCTATATTTTAAAGTTGTATTTTATACCAACAGGTAAATCACTTACCAGCAACCGCTATCAAAGTCTGCAAAAATAGAACCGAACAAAAAGTGGCAACATATTGCGACAAACAGGCCACCGTTTTCTCAATCGCTGTGGCCAATTTTACCTGTCAGAGGTAAAGTTTGTAAGAGGTATATGTGACAATTGAATATTAATTAAGAAACAGAAGCATAAAAATACTTGTAGAAAAACCCTGATGCTAACAAATAAAAAAGAAACCAAATATATATATACTGTAAACGACGAAATTTTCGCGTGGACCTAATTTTCGCGACTTTCGCGAACCGCTTCTGATTCGCGAACAATAGGTCCCGCGAACAATTCGGGAAAAATTTCATCACCTTGAAAGCGGCATTGAGACACCGGGGAAACACGCGTCCAAAAAGCATAACGATGTCATATTATACGCGATATGTGAATATGATATGGAAAGTTTCCTAAAGTAAATAAAGCCATAAGTCGGAATTCAGCTCACCTCAAGAAGTTTATTTGGTACCTTCAGACAATTCCTGCCAGAGTATAGCCGATTCGGATCGTGTCTCTGCAGTTCTCGAGATCCGCATACACTTCAATCAGCCATGCTGCGTGAACGGGCTTCATAACACTTGCTCGCAAGTCGATCTTAACGTCAGCTGCACTTTGTCCTTTCTCCACCACCTCTTGTACACATCCGGCTTACCACTGGGTAAAGCGGTTCATCATGGCAGTCTTGAACACATTGTTAATCATTCTGATGTTAGCCTGAGACTGAGGCAGGAAAAGAGGAAGTTTCAAAGTAGAAGAAAAAAAGGAACAGTCGAGGATACGTCTCTAACACAGCTAAAGACAAGTTTATTCGGTCACCCTCTTATATACACTCCACAATCTTCACCACAGAACCTTCGCGACTTCCAAAGCCAAAAGATAACAAAGAACTCATCTCTTTCCACCACAATAATCAAACGATCCCTTGACAAACCTACAAAGCCCCCCTCACCAACACAACCTAGCTCCGCTCTCCCGGAAGACAATCGACCTTCGCGTACATAGCACACCCTCCTCCTCTCCTCCCCGGCCCACAATCCCAAATCAACCCGGCAACAAAAGATACCAATCCACCTGATCCAAACCGAAGACACAACGGAGGAAACCACTTATACCCTTTCACAATCAACAACCACTTAACAAAACTCTCATATCCTCAAGAAGGTTTTTGCACTGCTGCTAAGCTGTCAGGACACTTGACTAATGCAGTTGCCCATTGATTTCATTCTTATTGTTTCCTTTACAACCCTTTTGATGTCGTTTACTTCCCTGTGTATTATTTCTGTTTCGGACCAGCGTAATATACAATTATTACATTCTTGAACATGTTTCGCTATTTCCGAATCAGTCGCGTTGTTTTTGTCATTTCTTTTGTGTTCAGTCAATCTATCATTTATACACCTCGACGTTTGACCCACATACTTAAAACCGCATTCCAGGGGGATTTCGCATACCACTCCATTATCACACGGAATAGACTTTTCTCGATGCATTTTAGTGCATTCCCTTACACTCTTGTGGAAGGGCGTGAGCTTACTCAACTTATAGTCCGAACTAAAAACCAGATCAACATCGAACTTTTTTGCACAAGCCTTCAAGTTGTGAGAAATTTTGTGATAGTACGGAATTACAGTAGTTCTATTTTTTGGCCTTTGCTTTGGTTTTCCTCTACATTTGTCTGCGAATTTCACGGATAACTGCTTCCCTACGAATTCATCCTGATAACCAGTATTGTTTAGACTTCTCCACTGTCTTTCCACTGATTCAGCGAAGAAATGAGTACATGATCTCTCCATTGCATTTGTGATTAAAGACTTGACAATACCTGCTTTGACTGTTTTTGAATGGCAACTGTTTTTTGACAGCAGCGGTTTTGCGTTTTCTTTTCCATATTCCCAACATAGTCCTTTTTCATTGTGAATCATAAGCTCTAAAAACCGCAGTTTACCATTCATGGGTCGTTCGACCGTAAACCTCAGTTCCGGTGCTGCCGATCTGATCAATGCTTCCAGAGTGTCGGATAATCCCTCCCGAAAAGAACAGATCAAAATGTCATCGACATATCTTTTCACAAAACAGGATTCCGACGTCAGTTCTTGCAACCTATCAGATACAATGCAATCCAAAGAATTTAGGTAAATTTCCGCTAACGCCGGTGCTACACTCGACCCAATGCATACTCCCTCTTTCTGTAAATACTTTTCCCCTTGATACTCTACTATTGTTGACTGCAAGTAATAATCAAGAACGGCAAGAAAACTGTCCACCGATATGCCTGACCGCGATTGGAACCTTACCAAATTCATTTCAAGCACCCCTTCTACCCTTTCCAACAAACGACTCTTCTCTAATGAGTAATAAAGATCCTTGATGTCCATTGACAACATATCTCCTTCCTTTCCATGATGACCTTCGAGTACCGTGATCAACTCACTCGAATTTCTCAGTGACAAAGACTTATCTAGAATTGCATGATTTAAACCTTTTTGAAGAAACACGGAAGCTACCTTCTGCCAAGTGCCATTCTCATTGATCACCACTCTAAGTGGCATCTCCGGTTTATGATCCTTAATGAAGAACTTTACGCTCAACGCTGACTTCGACAGATTTACCATGGTCTTTGCTACATCCTTAAATTCGTCTTCCTCTAAAATTGAAACTATATTTTTCTTTAACT